AGAAATAGAAAGGTATAATAGAAGTAAAAGCAAAGCAGGATCTCGAGGACTAACTAATCAAAAGAGTGAAAGGAGAAGAGCTAAGAAACATGAGAATGTCAACCCATACAGTTATATGTAGAAGATGGGCAAGGCAATGATCCTGAGAATCTCCAGAAGATTTTTGAAATTAGAAGTTAATTGGAAAGATTCTCACCCTGACTGACGATACATACTGATACCTGTGAACTAAGCAGCTGCACTGAAAATGGTGATCCGTGGTGGTAGTTTCATGCTTGGAGTGCCTGTCATTCCGGTATTGTGAGTGCGGGCTGCTTGTCATGACAAGCCAGTTACAGCTGTGCTGTCTCTCTGTAGATGATTGTTCAAAAAGAAGAGGGTGGTGAATTAAGACCAGAGTTAGAAAAAGGAATATATTGGGACTGTCCTGCTTCAAGGTTGTATATGGTTATATTTTTGGGTTTATGTGTAAACGTAAGAAGTATATAATTTTTATGCCTAATTTGAAATATATTCTAAGTTTTAAATGTTTTTCCACCATACTCTATAGAGACTTAAAGTTTAACATATCAATACTTGATGATAAATACTTGTTCCATGTTATGCCTAAGATGTTTGATATTCATGTAAAGAGTAAAGTTAAGCTTAACAGCCTAGGTTGTATGGTAATAACAATAAGCTTGTCTTCTGGATGGTTAACAACCTAAGTTTGCAGACCAAAATTAGAGAAAAAGGAGGGCCGTAAGGAAAGCCAACATTTTGGCTGTAGCCTTCCAAGGTCAATTGACTCAGGACATATGAGAACTTGTACTGTAATGTCACGTAACTCAGCAGTGTCCCAAATTTTCTGATCAAGGAGATTATGGGGCCAAAGAGGAAAGTGATTGATGATGTAGAGTGTGCCTAAGGAGAGTCACATGGAGAGAAAACATTCTCTCAGGCTTTCACAGAGTGCAAACTGGCCAAGCAATGGCCGTGACTCATCCACATGGCTGACACTGACAAAGGTTCTACAATCTGAGGTACAGGATCTCAGGATAAATCCTGGGGATTTCACTGGCCTTATCAGACCCGAAAACTACAACTCTTGTTGCATAGGTCTTGCTTTACCTTGGTCTTAACCATATAGCAGAAAAGTATAGGAAGTAAAGCCATGGTGTTATGTTGAGCTGTAGGGGACTCAGGTCAACAATTTCTGACATTGTCAGTTAAGTGGAAGACCAATACTATTATGGACTACTGAACTCTGTAAGAATATTTTGCTGAGTTTACACACCTATAATATTTAAATGACGGAACTTAACAAAAAAAGAAGATACAGATGAATGTCCATTTTGATCTGTGTATTCAAAGTGGTTAGGATAGATATAGAGTTACATTCTCTTAATGAATACAGGGATTTGTTCTAATGGTGTTTGTAAATATTATATCAAGTCTGCATCTTGTACAGCAATTAAACATTAGGAAGAATGCATGCAATGTGTTAATTAGTGAAACTATTCTGCCAGTTTGGTTTGAAACTGTCTCAATGCTATTTGTTTCTCAATAAAAATTATGGGGAAAAAAAGAGAACTTGGAGTACCACAAGTGCAAGCAAAGTGATTGTGTTTTAAAGGTTGGGCCTCCAAGAGAAAAGACAGGATCTCTTTCTCTCTCTCTCTTTTTTAATGTTTGGCATCTTCAGTGTTTACTGAGTTAGGTTTTTTAAATTTTACTCTATTTAAAAAGATAAAATATCAATTAAACAGTCTCAGAACAGGTTAGGGGCACAATTACAATAATTGATACATTACATATTGTTGTCTTCTTAGTATTTATACAGAGGACAGAATCTTAATTAAGGCTTTGAGTTTAGCCCTTTGGATTCCAGCCAGAATTCTCCCTTGTAAATTATTCCCTGAGGATGGCCAAATGCTATAGTACTCAGAGTGCACATTATATAAGGTGCCCAGAAATTACCAGGCCCTGACATCAGGTTATGTTCATCGGACTCAATTCACAATTCTGCCTTGAGTTCTTTTAGAGCAAAATTCCTGGTACAGCTTAAATTTAATAAAAACTTGATTAGAATTTTTAGGGCAACACAGCTTTCTTTAGAACAAAAAAGAAATGAAGCTGAAGGACTTAAAAATAAAGTACCTCTATGGAAAGAAAGAATCTACCATAATTTTTCAGTGCAACTATTTGATTGTCAAGTTTCCTTTTGAAGAATATTTTGTGGTTGACAAATTTCTAAACAAAATACCTTGAAATATCATTTTTCCAGCAACTTTGGAGCACAGTAAGTATCTTTCTGAAAACAGGAGGAGATTATATGAGATAAAATACAAAGGCCATTATAAAAAATGTGTACAAAAATACCATTTGTATCCCACTGGACATAATGTCAGCATTTATATAAAAAGGAATGTTGAGTCCAGGATATAAAGTATTCCACTCATGTTCACATAATGAACATTGTTGAATTCCTGTCATTTTGTTTCCTGAAATTTTTTTTATCATGTTTAATATTTTAATGATGCATTCATTAATATTTGTATTCCTTTTTAAAAATTACATGTGCGTTAGGGAGCCAGGGAGATAGCTCAGTAGAATAAGCACTTGCCTGGCAATCGCAAGGGCCTGAGTTCAATCCTTGATTCCACTAAAAAAAAAATTACATGTATAAAAAAGTACATATTCCAAAAGCATAATTTATTTTTTAATTTCATTTATTTATGTGTGTGTGTATGTGTGTGTGCATGTGTGTGTGTGTGGCCAGCTCAGCCCACCAGGGGGCGGGGCTGGTTGGCATGTGGTGCTGGGGAATTAACCACAGTCCTTGTACTTTGCTAAGCTTGTTCTAAGGAGGTGCTTTAGACCACTGAGCCATCTCACCAGCCCCCAAAAGTATAATTTTTAAAAGAAGTTTGATTTTCAATGGCCAACTTAAAAAATACATTGGTACCAGGGCTGGAAATCCATATTGCCCATTCGCTGTTTCAAAAAGGTAGGAAATTATGTTTTCTTAGAAAGATAAGGGTTTGTTTTCATCAAAATCTCTGCCTCCCAGCTGCACTTCTGCATGGGCTTTCATGTCCAGGTGATCACAAGCTCCCTTCTTCCCTGGTCCAAATTAAACCAGACTTTAACCATCTGGGGTCACATATGAGTATTCTTCTCAGGTCGACACAACACTTTTCAGGGAAACAATTAATTCTCTGTGCAGTTACTTGACTGGTTCAGCTAAAGAGAATTGAAGAAGCAGCTTATTAAAAACAAAGCAAAATAGTTTTACTTTTTTTTTTCTTGTAAAGTCTTTTGTCTTAATCATTGGTAATATTTGGTTTCTTTTTTTCTTTTTTTGTTTTTTAAATATTTTTTTTTGAGAAACAAGTAGCAATGAGACAGTTTCAAAACAGATTAGTAGGACTATTTCAATCACTAATGCATTGCGTACTGTTGTCTTCTTAGTGGTTATTCATAGTGCAAGATGCAGACATGATATCATGTGCACAAACATCATTAGCACAAATCTTTCTATTCATTGAATGAAGAGAAAGTAGCTGTATATCTATACAAATTCTTTTGAATATACAGATACAAAATGGTCCTTCATATGTATGCCCATTTTTTGTTTAGTTTTGTCAGAGTTAGGTATTCCATTGTAATTTAAATATTGTAGCTGCATGAATTCAGCAAAATATTCCAATATAGTTCTGTAGTCCGTAATAGTAGTGACTTATCTGAGGAACTGGCAATGCCAGAATTTGTTGACTTGTGCCTTTTACAACTCAGCATATTAAAGTTTAAAAACCCAATCCAGAAATGGGCATCCTAGATGAACACACATTTCTCAGAGGACAAAATTAAAGAAGCAAAATAAATATATGAAAAGAAGCTCCACATCCCTAGCCATCCGGGAAATGTGAATTAAAGCAACACTGAAATACCATGTCACCCCAGAAGGAATGTCTATCATAGAATTTTAATTTTTTTTTATTTATTTGAGAGAGAGAGAGAGAGAGAGAGAGAGAGAGAGAGAGAGAGAGAGTGGTGTGTGTGTGTGGCCAGCTCAGCCCACCAGGGGGCGGGGCTGGCTGGCATGTGGTGCTGGGGATCGAACCGCGGTCCCTGATGCTTTGCCAAGCTTGTTCCAAATAGGTGCTTTAGACCACTGAGCCATCTCTCCCGCCCCTATCATAGAATTTTAAACATTCAGTTTTAGGCCAACCATGGTGGCCCATGCCTGTGATTCCTCCAGGGGCTGAGGCAGGAGGATAGATGCAAAGTCAAGACAGTCTGGAAACAATAGTGAAACTTTTTTTCCAAAAGACAAAAAAAAAAAAGAAGAAGAAAAAATAAAGAAAATAAAAAGTAAACGATTCTCACTAACCATGTTTTGAAAGAATTTAATACTGATGTGACACAGTTAAACCCCAGAGAAAATTAGTTGCTAATACAGATGAATGTGTTAATAGTGAAAACAAATTAGGGGCCAGCCAAATAGCTCAGCAGAATAAAGTGCCTGCTTAGGCAGGTGCAGGGCCAGGTATTCCACCCTCGGGCAGCCCTGCCATTCTTGCCTCCAGAGCATGCTGAGATGGCAAGTAAGATAAGGTACACTGGCACCTGCCTGTCATTGCAGCACTGGGGAGGCTGTTAACAGGTGGATCACGAGGAGTCTGGTCCATACAGTGCGACCCTGTAGATCCAGTAAACCATACCATAAATACAAAAAAAGAGGAAAATGTTTTAAAATTGTAATGAATTTCATACTGAAGAGAGTATGTACCTTTTAATGTACCAAACACAAAGCTACTATGATAAGCATACATATACATTGAAAATGTATAAGCACATGTATATACATATCCTTTATCCCTCTTGTTTACAATAGATTCATCCTTTTTAGGTGCACTAAAAAAGAAAAATACTGAGGCACTCACATAAACAAAAATATTTTTGGTGAGAAAAAAATTGGAAATTGTTTAGTAAATAGACAAGTGCTTCAGGACACCATGGATAGCTGGAACTCCACTCATGAGCCTGACTTCATTCTGCTGGGGCTGGCGGACTCTGCAGAGACACAGCTGGGCCTCTTCCTGCTCTTCCTCCTCATCTACCTGGTCACGGTGCTGGGGAACGCAGGGATGATCCTGCTCATTCGCCTGGACCCCCACCTGCACACGCCCATGTACTTTTTCCTCACTCACCTGTCTGTCCTCGACCTCAGCTACTCCAGTGTCATCACCCCAAAAGCCTTACAGAACTTAGTGTCTTCCACCAAGATCATCTCATACCTGGGCTGCTTGATTCAGCTATATTTTTTTATATTGTTTGCTGCTGCCGAATGCTTTCTCCTCTCCTCCATGGCCTATGACCGTTATGTAGCTATCTGCAAACCTCTACACTATTCAGTTCTTATGTCCTCGAGACTGTGCCATATTTTGCTTGCTGGTTCTTACATCCCTGGTCTTGTGGATTCCACAGTGAATGTGATTTTCATAAGCAGGCTGCATTTCTGCAAATCTAATGTCATCCGTCACTTTTTCTGTGATATCTCCCCAATTTTAGCCTTATCGTGCACTGATACTTCTGATAATGAACTCGTTATATTAACTTGTGCTGCATTCAACTCACTGTCTCTAGTCATCATATCTGCATCCTATGTGTCCATCTTCTACACTATTCTGAAAATTAATTCCACTGCAGGCAAGAGAAAAGCCTTCTCCACCTGTGCCTCCCACCTGCTGGGCGTCACCATCTTTTACAGCACTCTCATCTTTATTTACCTCAAGCCAAAGCAGTCCTACTCCCTGGGTAAAGATCAGGTGGCCTCTGTGTTTTACACCATTGTGGTCCCCATGCTGAATCCCCTCATCTACAGCCTCAGGAACAGAGAGGTGAAGAGCGCTGTCCTTAGAATCTGCAGAAAAGTGATGCCACTGGGCAATTAAAATAACGCTCTTGCTGAGCAGTTCCAGATGTCCACTTGTTTCTTCCTTTCCTACTGCCCTACTGGAGAATTCTTTGGTCTCATTCTGAAAATAACTCCGTTTTTTTGATGCTCTCCATGTGCCCTTTGTTATCAAATAGTGTCTTAGACATTTTGGAGCACATTTCTGTCAAGTTCATACTTGATTTTGCATAACGAATAAAGTGATAAATCTAAGATTCAACATCCTGTCATTTTAAGGTCTTTGCTTTTTAATAAAGTGAGAAAATTTCCAAATTTTTAATATTTGTCAATAACATGTTTCTACAAACTTAAATTTTATAGAACTTTGTAGTGAACAAGCCCATCATATTTATATGTGTGTTTGTATAGAATGATCAGTAGCAGCAGGGTTTAGCACAATGACTTACAAATCATGATTACAGTGATTTGATTCCAGATCTGGAGGTGTGCTCCTTTATGACCCACACTAATTCCCTGCAATAATAACGTCCAGCTTGCACATCCACAAGGGATATAGTAATCCCTCCATGTCCTCTGATCAGAACATGGATATAACTTCTCAGGACAATCTGTTAATGCTGCCCGTTATCACCACAAGCCTTGGAATCCTGTAGTGTGTGTCTCAAAATAGTGCAGTGTCCGTATTTCTGAAATGTATGCTTTTATTTCTACAAGTGTTTTACTCAATCTACTTTATAAAGAGTAAGAAGGCTAAAAATAATCATTTCATGTTATTGTCACTTTGTGAGCCTTGCTAGGTCGCAGTTATTCATTTACCTATGCATGTTTACCATAATCCCTGTAATTCCCTGTATGATCCTTTCTTCTTTTTTTTAACTTTAACATTAACATCAGCATCAAGTCATATCAGTGTAGTTATAGCCTGAAAGATGTATATGAATTTATTTGTGTGTTTGTTTGTTTTTCTTTAGGAGAGATCAATCATGGGACTCAGCACTTGCCCGACAGGTGCTTACACCACTGAGCTACCTCCCCGTTCCCCTAACCCAGTGTTTATTTCTTGCATCGCTACTCAGCTCCTGCGCTGCAAGTTACATCTCTGAAATAATTTAACACATCAAGCTCGAGTTCTCAGCACTGGGTCAATGTGCTACATAATAAAAACATGAATTTTTAAAAGCCTGTAATGCAGCCCAGCGAATAAGACCATGTGGTTTTGCATCCTAACACTTAAGGGATAACCGGTGATGACGTTCATGCATTTCACTAACAGAGAAGTCACTGGAGAGGATTAGGTACCAGAGGGTGGACAGTGACACGCAGGGTAACTGTGTTAGGAATCAGTTTTCCTAGTTTAACTAAATATCCAGGAATAGACTGCCTCAATATAAAACACTATTCATGCTCCAAGCTGAATCTACGGGGGTTTCATAATTGCCCTGTTGCGCACAAGACTTTGGGTTTAGCTCCTTCTGGTCAATAATTCAGAGCTCATCTTCTCCTATCATTCATTTTTTTATTTTCTTGTCTCTTCTTTTCATTTATTACCCTTTCTTAGTTAAAAATCATTTACTTGAGAGACACTGTGGCAGTCATTGGTATGACATGACAAGCAGTATGTATTTAGAAGACCAGAATGGCAGGCATTCCAAGCATGCCCGTACTATTATACATTGCTATATTCAGTGCAGTTGTTTAGTTCACAGGTATCAGCATATATTTTAGTATGAGAATCCTACCAATTGACTGCTAGTTTCAAAAACCTGCTGATGTTTCTCAGGATCTTTGCCTTATCCATCTCGTGTGTATAAATGTATGGCTTTGCCCCTGTCATGTTTCCTAGCTTTTCTCCTTGCCCTCTCTTCATTGTCTAATCCTCAACTTCTTGCTTTCCTTTTATTTGTGTCATACCTTTCTATTTGTCTTTCTTCTTTTGAGTTCTTATGCTAGGGAGACTATATATTTACACATATGGGTCTGGTTTATTTTCTCATGAGTATATCTAAGCATATCTCCTCCTACAAGTGACAGAGAGGTCATCCCCTTTCTGCTACCCATCGTGTTAGTACGAAGGATGGGGGAAAATTGGTTTCACAAATTGAAAATACTTTGTTTCTATCAATGCTTTCATGAAGTAATTTAAATGAGAAAGTACACAATTCATTTTTACCTATTTATTGTAATGTAGCTTTAGAGAACTTTGTTTATAATCGTCAATGTCATAGACAGAATATATTTATAATATTTTATGCTTTTATTTCAATTTTTGAGGGCAAAAATCTTGTGGCACTCTGTGGTATCATATAGTAATATTGATCTATTCTTCATGTATATACGTCTGCTTCATGATGTAATGAGTTGTCAATTCACAAGTCAAAATATTGTAAATTCACATAAAATGATGCACAAAGTAATATTTTCAGGGTTTTGGCTTAGCATTAAACTCAAATAATGGAGAACTATTGGAAAGAAGTGTACCGTTGAATTAAGTTTCTAACCCTTATTAAACAACTTGCAATGTAAGATTCTTTAAGGAATATTGATCAATTTTTCCCAGTATATTTTTATTTTCCTCATTAATGATAGATATGTATGTAGCTCAAAGTACTAATAAAATAGTAGGACTGGCCAAATAACTCAGTGGATTAAAGTACTTGCAAGCAGGCACAGGGGCAGGGGTTCGATCTGCAGGCCTGCCATGCTGGGCCTGTCCCTGGGATGCGCTGAGAAGATGATTGAGTCTGGGCGTGGTGGTGTCTGCCCGAAATCCCAGCTCTTAGGAGGGTGTAAATAGGCAGAACCCTACTAGTCTGATCCAGTAGTGAGACCTTGAATACCCTGTAGATCCTACTTTAAAACACACACACACACACACACACACACATACACACACACACACACACACACACACACAAAGTACTATTGAGATAGTGTAACTTTCCTTCAGTGATTTTTTGAAAAAGTAATTGAAATTAAATTTAGAATATTTGTCGTATTTAATTTCACAATTTTATTTATTTATTATTTTCTCCATAATTTTATTGAGAAACCAAAAGCAATGAGACAGTTTCAAATCAAATTGGTAGGACAGTATCAATAATTAACACATTGCATACTCTCTTCCTAGTGGTTATTTGCAGTGGTACAAGATGCAGACATAATATCCTATTTACAAATCCCATTAGAAGGAGAATGTAACTATGTATCTATCCTAACCACTTTGAATACACAGATACAAAATGGACACTCATCTGTATCCCCTTTATTGTTTAGTTCTGTCATTTGAGTATTATAGGTGTGTTAACTCAGCAAAATATCCCAAAAGAATCCAGTAGTCCATAGTAGTATTGGGTCTTCCGCTTGACTGGCAGTGTCAGAAATTGTTGACCTGAGTCCCCTACAGCTCAACATCACACCATGGCTTTACTTCTTATCTTGGTCTTAACCATCCAACAGAAAAGTATAAAAATGTAGTACAAGAAGTAAAGTCATTCCACAATTTTAGATTTGTCACTAAACTGGTTCCATTTACATCTGTGGTTGTAATGTGTATGTATTCACATATGTTTGTCATATTTTCCTGCTGTTAAAACCTGGCTATTATTTCCTCACAATGTGCCTCTTCCCTTCCTCCTTAATAGTAAACTATTGCATAGTGCCCGCAGTTACCATATGATTTTTTATTCAACCCATTTTTTTTACAGGATTTCTGTGTGACATAGTTTTGTTATTTCCTTTTGAGGTTCATAATTATTTCTTCATCTCTCTTAACTTTCTGATCTTCTTGTTGGACTCTTTATCTGGTTTCATGTGGGCACATGTGTGTGCATGCATGTGTACTTTGAGTGTTTTACTGAATACTTACTAAATTCCCTGTACCTAATGTAAATTCTGACATATCCCTTCATGTTGTTTGCCCTCTGGACTGGGACTGCTCTGTTTCAACTAGAACTCTTTTGCCTGCCTACGCTGTAGCACAAATACTAACAGGAACGGGTGTATCTGAGCAAGGTGGTCATATTTGATAGTTGTCAGCAAGGAAGACTGGAGATGCATATGAGCTCCTTTAATTGGAGGTTCTCTGTTTTCATATTTCTTGTGGTTGGCTTTCAGTATGGTTTCATATGGAGCTGAAATTCCTGCCTGTTTGTATTTAGATCAGCTCATACATTTGGCACCAACCTCTATCTCAGATCCCCAGTAGTCAGGGTACCGGCTTGTGTCACTCCTCTTTGCTCTCCATTGTGTTCCTTTTGGAGTTGAAGAGTACATGAGAAAATGTCTCTCTGTGCAACGCAGGCGGGCATTGACCTCACTCTGTAACCCATGATGAGATTAAACCCCATCTACCCTCCTACCTGAGTTACCCATGAGCTGGATTACAGAAGTGCAGCACTAGGCTTTGCACTCCTTTCTCTTTTCTTTCACTCTTCCCATTACTTATAGGTTGCATTTCTCACATAAGAGAAATCATGCATTCAGGGTTATTCATCCAAACCAGCAGTCATAGAGCTCTGTGAGGAGACTAAGGAAGGAGGCAGCACTAGGTAGGATGGTGAGAGCCAACGATCAGCTAAAGCCGAGATATATGGTGTGTGGAAAGATGAGTGATTCCAGTACTGCACAGACCCAGTATCCTTGATTGGTCAGTGTGGAGGGGAATTTTCCTTCCCCAGCTGATGAGAGAGGAACTTCTGCATATTATGAGACTCAACATTGCCACAAGACTGACAGAGCCTGAGGAGAAGAACTCGGTAGAGCCAGGGGGTGGTAAGGGAAGCAACAGTGCCTAGTGATTCCCTCTGCATGGAGGGAAACACCATGGGGATTCAGTCAGCTTAAAGCCCTCTCTCTTCTGCCTAAGGAGAGCAAGCTGGGCTAGGATTCAGACGTTACAGAGGCTCACAAGTATCTGTAGTAACTTCTGTACCTTAGTAGGTGGAGTAAGGGAACAGAGTACCCCCATATTTTCAGGATGTAACAGCACCTTCTCTCAAGACAGTAAGACCTTTTAATAGACATGTTAGATCCAAAGGA